AGCATTCTCAACATTATACATTCGTAATTGCAAATCCCATAATTTCGATTCACTTGACAATAATACTATAAATCAAATAATTATTACAAATCAATAATTGCGTAAGAATTTGATATTAGAAGAGATAAATAGTTTATTCTGCAGAAATTTACCAAATTCTACTACAAAATCACCATTTGGACTAATAGCTAAATATAGCTCTTTTATTCTTCCACTTTCTTTTACATTTACAATATATTCTTGCGTAGACATAGCAAAATAATTTCTTATCGTTTAAGAATCAATTAAAATATGTAATAACTAATGGAATTATTGTGCTTAAATTACAGCCGGTGGCTTAATCTTAAATCCATAATTGTTTTATTTTTCATAAATATTTTATTTTTCATATGCACCATTTCCACTTTTATATTTATAGTATAATGTTGCTCAAAAAAAACTGGTTCTTATATCAAGCCACTTTTTTAAATAAATCTGTGCGTCATTTATGCAATCCGGCATATGTACTTACAGTTTTTAAATGAACCTGTAATTTTTTGCTCTAATAAAATGTGAAACAGAATCTCATCCAAAATCTTTAAATAACGAAACGACAAACTGACGAAATTGTTGATCTAAGAAGTGATGACAAACACACAAGGCAGTGAAACTGAAGGTAATAGTATCATTTATCCGAAAGTATAAGAAATCTTTGAATTATTTATTATTTATTATTTGTGAATTATTTATTATTTATTATTTATTTATTATTTATTAATTATTAATTATTAATTATTTATTATTTTTTTTATTTGTTATTTAAAAAATTTTTTTTTTTACACATAAGTGCTACAATGAAAGACTGTAATTATGACTTATTAGGTTTAGGGCTTAGCTTAAAACCTGGTTTTCTTCTGACAACGTATATATAAGGATGTCAAGAGAAAACATACATCTGGCTTTTATAATAACTTTATTTTAAATTTATTTCAGTATTATCATTTGAATCCATCAATTTGATTGTAACTTTATGGAAGCAGTGCGGCTTATACGAAACAAATCTAAACCAGTTCAAATTATGTATGAATGAATGCC